CCTTTTATATTCAAATAAAAGCAAATTAAAATTTGTAAAAATTGACTTTCCAACTTTTCACGCTGAGCTACCGGTTTTTCTGATTTTGTTGGTAGAATATCACTTCTCGAATAAGTTCGATATTTAAGGAGAAAAATACAGAGCAACAACAATGCAAACCTATTCATATATAGCGTCTGGTGAGAGCAGCACAACATGCCGATAATGCCGATCACCTGAGCTCACACGTTTTTACTAAAAAGAAAAAATAAATAAAGAAATAATGTGTCTACAAGAATGTAATAACAACCACAACAAGTATGACGAAGTCTAAAGAAAACGCGCTCGGAGCGTGCCACTATAAAGAGATGTCTATTATTAAGATATACAGTCGGTGTGAAATGTTAGTGTACACCTTGCTCTAATATGATATTCACAATTATTTTTGTAGAAAATTTTTTTCATCAATTACTTATGAGAATATAGTTCATTCTGTAATATAAACCATATAAATCAAAGTTTCAAACTTCATATAAATTTCACAAAAATTTAAGAAATTTTCATACAATTTCCAAATTTTTTATTCAGAATTTCTAGAAAATTTTCGGGTATGCAGTTTTGTAGCCCGTTCAATTTTAGTGAAACATAGTGCAAGTTTCAAGCAGGGCTTCGGAGCGGAGCGGAGCAAAGGAGTAAGCGGCAAGGGATTTTGGCTAGAACGGAGCTGAAGCAAAGAGCTAAAATAATTCATTTCCTTCTTAGCTCCTAAAAGAAAATTANAAGTCTAAAGAAAACGCGCTCGGAGCGTGCCACTATAAAGAGATGTCTATTATTAAGATATACAGTCGGTGTGAAATGTTAGTGTACACCTTGTTCTAATGTGATATTCACAATTATTTTCATGGAAAATTTTTTTCATCAATTACTTATGAGAATATAGTTCATTCTGTAATATAAACCATATAAATCAAAGTTTCAAACTTTATATAAATTTCACAAAAATTTAAGAAATTTTCATACAATTTCCAAAATTTTTATTGAGAATTTCTAGAAAATTTTTGGGTATGCAGTTTTGTAGCCCGTTCAATTTTAGTGAAGCAAAGTGCAAGTTTCAAGCAGGGCTTCGGAGCGGAGCGGAGCAAAGGAGTAAGCGGCAAGGGATTTTGGCTAGAACGGAGCTGAAGCAAAGAGCTAAAATAATTCATTTCCTTCTTAGCTCCTAAAAGAAAATTAAATTTACTTAATTTTTTATTTATTCTTGCCTCTGAAAACAACCGTGTTAAATAAATTTTCATTGTATCTTTACTTTGGCAATACTGCTCATTGCGCAATGCCCAGCAGTCAGGGATAATCGCCAAGTAAATTTGAACGGCGATGACAGTGCCATTTCGTACAATTCTCTGTATCCCCAAACGAACGTAAAACGACTACAATTTTCATTCATTTACGTATCCTAAAACATGCAAAAAAGTGCGGTTTTCATACCTGGAAACGAGCAGAAAACAACTACAATTTTCATTAATTTTTATGTCCGGAAAACGTTCGAATGTATTTTATTTGTTCAAGCTAAACATTTAAGAGCATGTATACGTAGTCGGCAGAGGCTGGACGTGGTAGTATTTGTTAGCTTTCAGAAAGTATCGAATTCGAGTACCGTCAGGCGCTTCCTTCCTTTTTTTTCTAACCATGAAAAGGCACCTGTGAAGTGCGGAAGGAAAGCGTATTGAAGAAAAATAAAAATAAAAAATTCTGGAAAACAGCCAAAACCGTATCCGGTTCTTGTCTATATATACATTTCTGCCGCACAATTTACTGCAGAAACGGATCGTTAAGTATCCGAAAATGGAATCGGTAAACGGACGAAAATCCGCATTTTTTTTTTCTTTTTCTTTCTGGAGAAATATCTGCCATTTTATTTACAAGACAACACATATACATTACGATCATATAAATAGCTGTATATACATACATATCTATGTTCTGACTCAAAAAGAAAATTAAAACAAAGTCAGCTAATTTAAAAAAAAAAAGTTTTTTATTGGGAGTGGGAGTGGAGTAAAAAGCGGAGCTCGGAGCGAAGCGATGAAAATAAAGCCTTTGCTCCGAAGCCCCGGTTTCAAGTCGCTAAAAATTACGGTTGATTTGTTAGAATTTTTTTATGGAGGGTTTTGTGCATTTTCTTCTATAGGGCTGTTTACAGTTCTCATGAAAAATCACAAGAAATATTTTTCATTATTTCTGTTAGTTGAAAAAGTACTTTGCTTTTGCTGTAAATTTTCTTGAAGAACTAAATATTCTAGCTTTTATTTTTCTTGAGAACTGCAAACTGATTTAAGAAATTTTAATTGAAGAAAATTTTTTTCCATTTCTTGTGCGTCATTTTATATGAATTTGTCGTTTTTCTTGAAAGCTGCAAACAGCACTTATGTATATGTATAAAAATAGATGGTCAAATAAAAATGCGCAACGGTTTTTGTATGAAAAATGAGCAGGAAATAATGTTACTCATACACCATGTACACCTGAGTAACACGCTTTTCTGCTCATATTTCATACAACCAGTGCACGGACTTCGAAAAAATTAATATTGGTAGATTTTGCATACAAAAATTGGTAGAAGTTGGTAGATTATTTTAAAAGAAAAATTATTATATAGTTTTTACTCATTTAGGATAAATGAAAGCTAATTCAGGTGAGATGGTGTTACCAAAGCAGCTGAATTTTCGCCTTGGGGGTTTTTAATGTCAAAATGATGTATTTGTTGTAATTCTTATTGTCATTATGGGTAAAATTTGTTAGTGGAATTTTTGTTTTTGAACTTTTGCTGTCACCTTATTACATATATGAATTCGCCTTGGAATAAATTGTAATTTTTTTATAAAACAATAAAATATTCAACAAAAAAGGTATAAATATGTAGTACATAAAAGTGGGCCCAAATCATGGCATCCGTGATCGAATGAAACACGATTCGAATGGAATGAAACAAACTGACAGATGTTTTCTCTCTAATACATTTAGAACTGAAAAAGCGAATTCGCTACCAAAAGCTGTAAAGAAAATTCCGATTCGAATATGATTCGATCCCGGATGTCTTGATTCTGGCCCTGTTTTACAATAAAACAAACTATTACTCTGCACTTCAAAATTTTTTAATTAAAATTAGTTTTGAAATGATTTAAGTTTGCACACCATTCCTTTGGCAGTCTGCCTACATAGAAATTGGATAGTCGCGTCTGGAGAATAAAAACCAAATAAAAATTTGTGATCCAGTGTAATTAATGAAAAAAATTTGCCATGAAAATAAGTGTGAATATCATATTGGAACAAGGTGTGCACTAATATTTGACACCGACTGTATATGTATGTATATGTGTAGATATGCACATTTGTATGCACATACTCGTACATATTTAGTTTTGCACTCCACCGGCGCAGCCGATGAGAACTTAAAGGTTAGAATGACTGGCTGTAGTATGTATTTATTTACACATGTATGTATGTACACATAAAAAATTTAGCACATGTTTAAATACGTACATATGTATGTATGTCTTGTTTAGGCCTGAATGTTTCTAAATTTTTCATATACCTAATATAAATAAATAATAAATTTGATTTGTTTAACCGCTTATCTGCCGCGCCTATGCTTTAAAAACTTTCCAAAATCACTCATGCTGCGGCACCCTATTAAACCTTATGAACATATGTATGTACTTATACAAACACAAACACGATTGATTAATGTCATCAACATTATGTACCTACTACTTGTTCTGATTTCGCTATACTTTAATGGCCAAACATTATGGAATTTTTTTTTATAACTTTCAGTCATAATAATGTACTAATTTAATTTTCCATCAACTGACAGCACACTTTTTAAACATTTATTGTAGATTGGCGATTTCATTTTCGAAGGTCGTGTTTTTATCAATTTATGTATGCATGCGTACATATGTATGTATGTATGTACGTAAATAAATATGTTTTATACATATGTAGCTATCTTTTTATGCACGTGCGCTTATCTACTCATAATAATGGTCATTTGTAGATACTTACCTCCGGATGATCACGGACTTTTTGGAATTCTTTCACCATCTGTTCGCGCGTCGTATTCCGATAACGCATAATACCACGCAGTATACGCTCCATATCTGAGTTATTTACTCTACTATGAACAGCTCCGCTACTTTTTTCCGACAGCAAATGTCCTTCAGTTTTTGCACAACCCGCACTTCGATAAATAAATAAATAAATATTTGTTCTATATTTACTTCTTTTAAAAATTTTTTAGAAGCGCATTTGAAAATAATTATGATGCTAAAATTTGGCAGTTTGTGGATAACAATTAGAAAAACATGCCCGCTCCTCAGCCACAATCAACGCACTGAACCGAACCTGAACCGACCTTATCCAAACACCGACTGAATTATAGGACGCCGCGCGCTTTAAATTTGTCTACCGTCGCCACGCGCTCATCTACTCCAAAGAGCGCTAGTATAAAAATGCTTTAGGAGTGTTGTCTTTTTCAATTCTGTGCTTTACTAATCATTATTTTTGCGAATCGTTTTGTTTTCTCGCTAGACCGCTTTTGATTTTTAATTCCATACACATTAAGGTACATACATATATACAAATTCATTAATGTACTTATTTACATACTCTGTCCATAGTTATGCCTGGAGTGTATTAACTTTTGCATTGAAAGCTTCGTTCTTGCCTTTTTTTTTGGGTGAGTAATAATAGCTTATTTTGTTTCTTTGTCATCTCATTGTAGACACAAGCACCAGTTCGTTCAGTTTGGGTTTGGAGGCGAACTGGTGCGCCCTCCGAGATTTTCACACTCATACTGGTGCGAATACTCACAAAACAGTCTATTAAAACTGGCCGGTCTCATATGAGCAAACTCTCCTCGCTTTGTATGCTTAATTATAACCGAGTAAATAGCATCTGATGCGAGAGAAAGCTTCGATAGCTTTGGTCACCAGTTGCGTTTTTGTTCTCCAATAGTACTGCAGCACCTAATGCTGATAACTAGGGCTCGGAATCTCATGCAAATGCGTGTTTTTATTGGCCACCTTCAAATGGAAATTGTTAAGTTATCTTTACGAATCATAAAATTTCTTTTAAAATGGCATTCAATCGTTAGTGCATATTTTGCAAAAAAAATACCTGTTTTTGCTTATTAAATGCTCATATTTTAGTATATTTGACAATAAATGCATATGGTTTTTGCATACTTTGCTTTTTTTTTTTTGATTTACAAGCAATTAAATTTTGTGCCAAATCTCTTAAAAAAAAAATACCTAAAATGTTTTCCCAAATATCTATCTGAATATCTTCTTGGATAGTCAAGCAGTCATGAAGGCACTTCCCTGTACCTCTGCTAGATTTCAACTAGTGGAAGACTGTAGGAGAGAGCTGGCCTATATCTCTAAACAATACGAAATTACCCTAATATGGGTCCGGGGACATAGAACCCCCAAATTGCTGTAACTTGCTAATAGCATTTCACTACCATTAATCTGAACCACTATTAAACTGTCAATATTTCTATTTACACAAGATTGCCACTGTCTGCTTGATTATAAACTAATGGCCTTATTCATAAAAAATAAAGTAGGCTTAAAAAGCTTTATAAATTGACGTTTTCATAAATTTTTCAATTTATAAACCCTTTTTTAAACTAGTTTATTTCTTATGAATAAGGCTATAATTTTATACATAAATATGTATTGCATTTTGAAATGAATTGTTGTCGGTCTTTTTTGGTTAAAATCACATAATTTATTTTTGTATCGGCAACAAAATATTTGGAAAATTTTTTTAATTGCATATGTTACTCGTTTATAGGGCTTATTTTTTAATTTTGAGTGTATATTATACGCGCATATTTTCGATTTTTTAGTACATGAGATTCCGAGCCCTACTGATAACTGCTTGTCATGCATAGCTTTGCAAAATGTTTACAGCTTTTTTCCCCCTACACACAAAAATTTGTCTATGAACCTTATTTTGGTTGTAAACGTTTTTTCAGCACTTAAATTTATAAAATTCTTTGCTTCTATTAAAAATACGGAAAATGTAAAAACAACTTTACGTCAATAAACGCTAAACTTAAAAAAAAATAGCTCTTCATTTCAGCTACTATTAGTATAATTTAGCTTTTTTTTGACCGATTTAGCTCCAAACGATTTTTTTTCTGGCAACACTGGTTACAATATTGCTCAAACATTTGACCATTAGAAAACTGAATGCAAGTTGGATCTATTTACATCATTTGAAAATTTTTCAAAAAAAAGGCTTGCGTCGATTAGTACTTACAAGCGCGCAGTTGACGTAACTTATGTTCGTCAGTATCAGTTATGTATGTATGTATGTATGTATATGGGTCTTTGGAAGTAATGACGAATTTCCACTAGGTATTGAAATTACAAGAGTTTGAGGTATTTAAAAAATAATATCGAGCCCTAACCGCCAAAATAACGTAAGCGACATTTTTTTCAAAATATTCTTTTTGATGCAGAAATGCATCTAGATGCTCTAGGAATATTTCTTCATCAAAAATAAAATTTTGAAAAAAGTGTCGCTTACGTTATTTTGGCGGTTAGGGCCCGATATGTGGAAATGAATTAAATTACAATTTTTTAATGTAATGGTACAAATATTTTCTAATGCCGAACTATGTCATTACAATTTTTGCGATTTGATGCCTAGTGGAAATTCAGCACAAGAAAAAACAAGCAGATTTGTTCGAAACAAATTGTCGCTCGTTTATTCGCAATAACGGATCATGTGGCGGTAGGCGGTAGTGGCATTAGAGGAGCGTACAACAGTTCATTCTGAGTAGAGATGGGCACGGGCCGGAATATTTGCTGCCAGCACGAACTCGTGCGTGCCTGGGCATTCAGTAAAATTTCATAAAAGCACGAAAAAGCCCGTTGCTAATACCGAAAATTTAGATGAGCTTTTGTTTTTATATAAAAAAAATAGTACATAATTAAAACTCTTTTGATAAGAGAAAAGCAAAAAAAAAAGAAATATTTGGAAACCGATAGAAAAAATATGATACTTAGTAGTTTCGTTTACATACATATCTGTACATAAAATACCTTCCACTTTTTCTACTTCCCNCACAAAATTAAAAATATGTACATATGTATACATACAATAAAAGTTGGCTCATTATTTCCGGGCTGGGGCGTGTCCCGTCGTTCCGGGCCGGGCCCCACTAAAATTCTTAACGTGCGGGCTCGTGCGTGTTTTTGAAAGTTGATTTTGCACTCGTGCCGGGCCGGGCCTGAAAATTTAGGCCCGTGCCCATCTCTAATTCTGAGTGAAACAGAACTCCTAATTCTCGTACATTAATGCAGCAACCTAACTGGTTTACAATTCGAGAACCTTTATTATTCGTAACTCAAATGCGGCATCTTCCAAGCAAAACTATTTGACTTACAGAAGCCAACATGAGTAGTGAAGCTTTATTGATGGTACTAATCGGATCGGATTAAACTTTAATCAGGTCGTGAGGACGCTGAACCTTCCAGCAGGAAGTACATAGGTATTCATGTACATATACGTTCATACATACATATGTACATATCGACACCGTTTCGTCGAGGTATTGAGATTTTTACCGCACTCAACTAAAATTCATGAAATTAGAAATTTTTAAAATTCAATGTCTCGACGAAAAAAGATATTGGGACAAACTCGACGGCAAACTCAAAACAAAATAGACCTGTACTTTAAGATGCTGCGTGTTTTTTTTTTTTTTTTAGAAAAAAAAGAAAACACTATGCTATATAACTTCAAATATAGGCCATAATCGTGTTTTTTGCTTTGTTAAAATATCTCGGAAGTAGTTATGACCCCGGATTGGAATTTAGTACGTTGAGAACTTTTGGAAAAGTACTCTGTCTTCTGCTAAAATATTTGCGCTTAATTTTGTCGGCCCGTGTTATTCTTGGTTAATACGGTTATGGAAATTAACGATTGTGCGAATTAAGAACGAAAAAACATCGAGGCTCAGAACTTCAGAATCCTCTTCTCATATCTAATCTTTGTATGTCGCTTTGACGGGCTCCAAGTATTCGACAGAAAGATAATGCAGAGAATTCATAGAACTCTTCGAATAGGGAAAGAGAAGGGCAGATATCAAACGATGCTATTGTTAAGATGACGTAACAAAAAATGAAGATATGCTTGCGAATGGATGGCTCTATGTTAGCGTAACTTGCCTGAGGGTATTCATTGAGGTATCCCCTATTGTTCTTGTTAAATAATAAACAATTTACAAATTATAAAGATTTGTAATTTATCAACTGCACAGAATCGGGATGTTACGTCTGACGAACGGCTAAAAAATCGCGTTGACTTTTGAGATTTTTTTTTCGACATCTTTGAGCGGACTGATGAAATCTTCTGCTTAAAAAAAATATATATTACTGCTCGTGATCAGGTAGCATGAATCTAATGAAACGTCATAATTTTATTAAAAGTGAAATAGTTAACCACAACAGCCGGCAATTTGCACTGCATCCTCGACGCTTGGGAGTGACCAGAAGCACGCTGCTAGAAGACATAGAGGCCTCCTCTCTCCCACAGAGACTCAAACGGTGATCGGCGAATTATCTGAGTCCTTGACACTCGTCAGTAATGTTTAGAGACAAATGGAGCAAACCTGCAAAAATAAAACAGTGGGTTCCACAGGGTGATGTCCTTTCCCCATTACTTTTAACTATTATATTTCCAAGCTCCCTCAACCACCAGAGGGAGTCTCGATTGTATCTTACGTGGACGATTTTTCGATAATGGCGTCAGTGAATGGAAGTAATGACATGTGCTCGAAAGTAAACGGGTATCTCTCCGGGCTTTTTCGGTTCTTCACTGCTAGGTGCCTAGCCCCTTCCCCTACAAAATCCTCAGCGACCTTGTTTACCACCTGGGCGAAGGAGGTCAGACTACCACTAGGTATTCACGTCGATGACATACCAATTCCGACGGTGAATAACCCAAAAATACTTGCGAGTAACTTTCGACAGTCTGCTCTCCTTCTATGCGCACACAACCGCAATTGTCAACAAAGTACAGAGCGCCAACAAGGTCCTCAAGTCGGTAGCCGGCAGTATCTCGCGCAAAGGCAAGAAACGTTGCTGGCAACATACAAGGCAATTGGCCGGAAGGTTCTAAATTACGCAGCACCAGTGTGGTCGCCGGGGACCAGTAGGGCGCAGTGGATGAAGCTGCAGACCGTACAGAACACAGCACTTCGGATAGCGACCGGATGTTTTCTGACGTCGCCAGAACACCACCTACATGACGAGGTGAAAATGCTCCTCATAAGGGAGCACAACGCAATACTCTGCAATTCTTAGTAGGGAGCCACAGACGTGGACACCCGAATAGACACTTGCATGCAGAAGAGCCATTGCCAATACATGTCAGGAGGCATCTATATGAACTGACGGACGAAGTCCAGAGGTTAATGAAGCAACCGCATATCGACAAGCACTGAGCGGCATTCACAGGGAGTCAGTCTCAAGTTACGTAGACTCCAGACCTGTGAATGCCATTCTGCGCACAACAACCACCTGAAGTAGACGGGACGGAGCTTCGTCTGCCTCGGGAGACTAGGACCACAATAGCCCAACTTCAATCTGGCTACTGCAGCAGGTCGAACTCATACCTGAGCAGATTAGACGCAGAGGTGCCAAATAAGTTTCCGGCATGCGGAGAAGACACCCCATGACTCGAAACATCTCTTCGTTTGCCCGGAAAATCCCACACAACTAAATGCTCTGTCCCTGTGGACAGACTGATAGAGGCTGCACGCTTCTTGGGTCTTCCCTTAGATGAGCTTGACGACAAAGAGGGCTTGTTCGAGATGCAATCACAACCGCAGTGTTACGCGAATTATTAAAGTATCACGATCGGTGTGAATTTCTAGCAACGTTTT